TTGAGGAATGGCCTCATCATCTACTTCATCATCCTGTCAGAAATCCAGACATCTTGCTAAGCTTCCCTCTCATTCCCCACATCCAGTAACACACCCAGTCCGAAAAGATTCCTTCGTTAGTCTTTACAATTCGCCGTATCCTCTCCATTCAGCCTCCCTCTGGATTACCCTAAGCTCCGGTTATCCCACACTTGACCTCCTGTTGTTTGGCCAGACCGTGCCCTCTCCAAATAATCTGCCATGTGGCCACTTGAGTGACCTTTCTAAAGACAATCCCAACTGAGCTACTCCTTGTGAGATTCTTCATTGACTCCTATTGTAACTTTCAGAATGTTAATGACTGGTTTCCACCGATGCCCATAACCTCAACTTTTAGCATTGTTGCACAGGTATTTTCCACCTCAACTCTACAGACTGAGTCACTGGTCCTTCAATATACCTACTATTATTATATCTCTCCAGTGCTATTCACTCTGCTTGTGATTTCCTTTCTCACCTCGGTTTATGTAAGTACTGCTCAACTTTTCAAGACCTCAATGTCAAAACGTTACCTTGTCCAGAGTATTCTTCAGCTCAAGCTAAATTACTTTTAATAACAATTCTTTTTAATTATGAAAGCAACACATACTCATTGTCAAAAACTTGGAAAATGAAAAAGCATAATTCTGCTGATGAGGGATTAGCTTCTCAGCATTTAGAGAAAGAGCCCAAAAGTGAACTGGAGGGGTAAAAAGGGGAAAGGGGGAAAAAACAGTAAAACGTGAGATACCTAATAGAAGTAGCAGGATAGAGAGCACACGTGAGCAAATACATTAACTCAAATATGAATTCGGGAAGGCAAGGTTGAGAACTGTGGAGCCAGAAACAGAAACGAGTGGGCATAGCAGTTAGGATAACTAGTAGATCTGGGAAGAACAATACTAGTTCCTGTGGAGCAGAGGAGGGGGCATCTGAATCGAAGGAATCTGTGGAATCTCCAACAATGGACTTCAAACTGAGCTAGAAATGCAGGATTGAAAACTGAGAGAGAAATAAAGGAGAGAGACCGAGATATATGAATAACGTCTGAATTTGCACGTAGATAAAACTCATTCATTCAGCAGAGGCCAGACAGCATAGGCATTGTGGGGCATGGCAGAAAGCACGACACATGTGACTCCTGTCCCCAAAGGACTTACATTCTGGTGTGGAAGAATATCAGGATCAAATGATCACACAAATAAATGTGTACTTATGGAACAGTATCAGTGCAATTAAAAGGTATCAAAATAGAAAAGGAGGACTAATTTAGGTAGAGTAATCCCTGCGGACCTCTTAAGGAAGTGATATTAAGCTGACACCATGAAGATAATAAGAGCAGCCAGGAGCAAAGGTAGAAGGAGGTAGGGACAACATGTGTAGGAGCTTTCTGCCCCTTTGGCAGAATTGGAAAAGCAGCACAAAAGGGAGAAGAGTGGAGTCTCTGAGCTAGAGGAGAGGTCAGTGGAAGCGTCCCAAATAAAAAAGCGAAAAGAAAAAAGACTGAAAAAATAAAAACCAGAGCATCCAAGGACTGTGGGACAATTACAAAAGGTGTGGCAGGAGCATAGTGGGAATACCAGAAGGAGCAGAGAGAAAGGAACAGAAGAAGTATTTCAAGCACTCATGACTGAGAATTTCCCCCAAAGTAACGTCAGACACAAAATCACGGTTCCGGGAGGCTCAACGCACACCCAGAAAGACAACTGGCAAAAGAACACTACACACAGGCGCATCGTATTCAAATTGCAAAAAAGAAAAAAATCAAAGATGAAGAAAGAGTCTCGAAAGAAGCCAGAGGGAATAAAACACCTTACCTACAGAGGAGCAAAGATAAGAACTACATCTGACTTACCCTTAGAAAACATGCAAGCACGAAGACAGTGCAGGGACAGACTTCAAGTGCTGAGAGAACAAAAACACCCAGCTGGAATTCTGTACCCTAGGAAATTATCCTTTAAAAGTGAAAGAGAAATAAAGACTTCCTCGGGCAAACAAAAACCGAGGGAATTTTTTTTTTTTTTGCTGGCAGACCTAATTCTTCAGAGTATGAAAATGATATAGGTCAGAATACTGGATCTATATAAAGAAAGGAAGTGCATCAGAGAATGCATAAAGGCAAGTAAAATAAAAACATTAGTTCTTCTCATTGTTAATAGGTCTAAAAGATGATGGTTTATCAAAATGGTAACAGCAACAATGCGCTCAATTGTGTATGCTTGTATATGTATATGTGTGTGTGTGTGTGTGTGTGTGTGTGTGTGTGTGTGTATGTGTTTATGCATTAGTGAAATGAATGACAGCAGTGATAAAAGGGATGCAGGGAGGAATCAGAATTTTTTGGTTATAGTGAAGAAGTCGACCGTTATTCGAAAGTAAATTTGGATTAGTTGTAAATGTATACTACAATCTATAGGGTAACTACTAAAAAAAGAATTATAACTGATGTATCAAATAAGGAAAGAAAATTCAATCATAAAATGCTCATTTAAAACTGCAAAACGCATGGGGCTCCTGGGTGTTTCAGTCAGATGAGCGTCTGACTCTTGATTTCGGCTCAGGTCATGATCTCACAGTCGTGAGACTGAGCCCCACGTCAGATTCTCTCTCTGTCTCCCTCTGCCTGTCTCCCCCACTCACACACACACTCTCTCTAAAATAAAATTTAAAACAAAAACTGTAAAATGAAGAAAAACAGTGGAGGAAAAATAGAAATACAGAACAGGAGTAACAAATAGAAAACAGGAACAAACATGGTATATATTAATCCAACCATATTAATAATCACTTTAAACACCACGGATCTAAATGTACCAATTAAAAGAAAAGACTGTCAGAGTGGATCAAAAAAACAAGATCCAATTATCCAATGTCTACAAGAACCCTCTTTTGAAGACATAAATAAATTAAATGGCAAATGATAGGGCATTCTAACATTAAACAAAATAAAACAGGAAAAAGAATATTAATTTCAGACAGAGCAGACTTCAGAGCAAGGGAAGTTATCAGGTTTAAGAGGGGCATTCATGTAATGATAAAGGGATCAATACTCCAATAAGACATTAACAATCCTTAATGTGTACGTGCCTAACAAGAGAATGTCAAAAAAAAAAAAAAAATGAGGCAAAACTGATAGAACAGCAAGGAAAAATAGATGAATCCACTACTAGAGTAAGGAGAATTCAACACCCCTCTATTCGAAATGCACAGATCCAGCAGGGAGAAATCAGTAAAAACACAGCTGAACTCAACAGCATCATCAAAAGAACTGGATATAATTGATATCTCTTGACTATTTCTTTTTTTTTTTATTTAAAAAAAATTTTTTTTAACGTTTATTTATTTTTGAGACAGAGAGAGACAGAGCATGAACGGGGGAGGGTCAGAGAGAGGGAGACACAGAATCTGAAATAGGCTCCAGGCTCTGAGCTGTCAGCACAGAGCCCGACACGGGGCTCGAACTCACGGATCGTGAGATCATAACCTGAGCCAAAGTTGGCCGCTCAATCGACTAAGCCACCCAGGTGCTCCATCTCTTGACTATTTCTAAGAACTACAAGATACACTTTCTTCTTAAGTTCACATGGAACATTCACCAAGACAGACCACATTCTGGAACGTAAAACACACCTTAACAAATCTTAAAAAAAAAAAAAAATGGAATCATACACCATCTAGTCTCAGACCACATTGGAATTAAACTAGAAATCAATTATCAGAAATACAGCTGGAAAATTCTAAAATACTTGGATATTAAACAACTTACTTCTAAACAACATGAGTCAAAGGAGACATCAAGAGAAATTTTAAGATATTTTGAGGAAAATGAAATTAATAATATTTACCAAAATATGTGGGATGCAGTAAAAGCAGTGCTTACAGGGAAATTTATAGCATTTCATGCATATATAAGAAAAAAAGAAAAATCTATAATCAGTCATCTAAGCTTCCACCTTAGGCAATTAGATGAAGAACAAATTAAATCCAAAATAATCATAAGAAGAGAAATAACAAAGACTAGGGGCAGAAATCAGTGAAATTGAAAACAGGAAATCAATAAAGAAAATCAATGAAACCAAAAGTTGGTTTTTAAAAAGATCAATACATTCATAAATCTCTAACGAGGCTAACTAAGAAAAAAGAGAAGATACAAATTACTCTTGGAAGAAATGTAAGAGGGGACATCACTACAGATCTCATGGATATTGAAAAGATAATAAAGAGGGGTGCTTGGGTGGCGCAGTCAGTTAAGCATCCCAGTCTTGATTTCAGCTCAGGTCATGATCTCACAGTTTGTGAGTTTCCCGCATCGGGCTTTGCACTGACAGTACAGAGCCTGCTTGGGATTCTGTCTCCCCCTTTCTCTGCCCCTCCCCCACTTGCTCTCTCTCTGTTTTTCTCTCAGAATAAAAAACTAAACTTGAAAAAAATTAAAAGATAATAAAGAATATTATAAACAATTCTTTGCCTACAAGTTTGTTAACCTAGATAACACGGACCAATTCCTTGAAAGACACAATCAGCCAAAACTCACACAAGGAGAAAAAGACAATCTGAATGAGTCTCTATCTATTAAAGATATTTAATCGATAATTAATAGCCTTCTAAAGCAAAAAGCACCAGACACAGATGGGTTTATTGGTGAATTCCACCAAGAATTTAAGAAAGAAATTATACCAAATCTCTACAATCTCTTCCAGAAAATAGAAGAAGAGAGAGTATTTTTTAACTCATTCTATGTGCATAGCATTACCATGAATGCCAAAACCAGACAAAGATGTTACAAGAAAACCACAGGCCAACATTTCTCGTGAAAATAAATGTACTCCCTAACAAAAAGGCAAGCCAGGATCATGGATTTCTTTTTTTTTTTTTTTTTTTTTTTTTTTTAGGATCATGGATTTCAACATCAATGCAATGATAAGTCATTGAGGGATTTCAATTGGTGAGTGACAAGTTCTTAAAATGAAACTCTGTCTTACCTTTCAAAGCAATCACTTGGGCTGCTGTGTGGATAATGGACCTGAGGGGGACTGTGGTAGAAGCTGGGGGATCAGGAGAGAAGGCCGGTGATAGCTGAGGTCAGAGGTGACAGAGGCTTAGACTAAGAAAGAAGTCATGCAGGCAGGGATGTCGGACTCAAAAAAGACATTGAAGGCAGAATGACAATGGATGAGATGCGTGTGGTGGAAGAGGAGAATCAAGAATGACTCCAAATTTTGCAGAGGCCAATTTCTAGATAAGCGGACGGAGGAAAGAGAAGCTACTTTGAATAGCAAGATCATGGTTCGTCTCTGTGATGTCTGAGAGGGCTGGTAGTGTCTACACTTGGTGGGTGGTTAGGCTGCTCATTTGCTGTTATTAATATTGTTTTTGTTACAAACATAATAGGGTAGATGGAATACTACACAAGCATTATTTTAAAATATTTTTCCAGAGATTAAGGGAACAGCCTGGAAGCTGAGGAGGGGATAGGTGTCAGTTCCATGCATCATAGCTTTGCAAACTCTACTCTGAACAACCTGCTGGAATGCATTCATGCTAAATTTGCAGGAGATAAATCACGCTCCCAAAGACCCAAGACAATAAATTAACTTAAAAAAATTTTTTTAATGTTTATTTATTTTTGACAGAGAGAGAGAGAGAGAGAGAGAGAGAGAGAGAGAGACAGAGCATGAGCAGGGGAGGGGCTGAGAGAGAGGGAGACACAAAATGGGAAGCAGGCTCTAGGCTCTGAGCTGTCAGCACAGAGCCTGACGTGGGGCTCGAACTCACAGACCATGAGATCATGACCTGAGCTGAAGTCGGACGCTCAACCGACTGAGCCTTCCAGGTGCCCTGACAATAAATTAACTTTAAGAAAACAATGAGTTAAAAGGCTCTAAGAACCTACCGAGGTTACCCTTCTAAGGTAAAGGTTCTCAACATGGGATCCCTGGACCAGCATCATCAGCATCTCCCTGTGAACTTATTAGAAATGCAAATTATCAGTCTCCAGCCCAGAACTACTGGCTCAGAAACTCTGGGCAGGGGCCCAGCACCCTGTGTTTTAACAAGTTCTTCAGGGTGATTCTGACGCATTTTCTAGTTGGAGAAACCACTGACCTAGAGGAGTTGTAAGATGTCATATATTGCAATCTTTTGATTCTACGTGGACAAGGTCTACACTCTTTTCAGTAAGTACCACATAATTTAAAGGCAAGTAATCCTCTCTAAAATGTTTTTTGCGTGAAAATTATCAAAGACGCTATTCCACCTGCATGAACAAAAGTAAAGAAACGAGTCTCTGTCTTGAGAGTGGGCGTGGCCCCTCCTGGCAGCAGGTGTGGCTTACCTGGCAAATACCGCTGATACACATGTCCAGAGAGTCCGTGTTGCAGCGAGTTCCATCCAGTACCTTGGGTGCCAGCTCCACTACCAAGTTCTGTCCCCGTGCGTGACACTTGAGCGCGCAGGGGGCAGCAGGATCGTTGTATCGTGGAAGCCATTCATAATAACGCCCCTGATACTGGACGTCATTGTAGGCGGAGCACTGCTGGGCTCTGAAGTCTTCTGCATCAGGAGGGCAGTCCTGGAAGCAGAGAAGAAAGGCCACGTGCACATCACTCAGGGAGATAAGCCAACAGGGGGCTGAACAAGTTTCCAAGAAGTCTCACGAGCCCAGACCCCACCGTGTGCCTCTCACCTTGGAGTCCCGTCATTTCTTCCGTTGTCCTTTCGAATTCAAGACCGAATCTATAGCCGTGGAGTTCTACTAGGAGCTCCGTGATAATGGAGACAATATTTATTCTGATCACTCTTCCACCCAGGTATTTTTCCCCCAAATAATTAAAGCCCATCATATTTAAATGCCAAATTTTGCTCTGTTTTAACCACCTCGGGTATAAGTTTTTAAATGCGTTACACGGTCATCTTCTTCTTGAAACAAGGGACGCGTAACGCTTTTAATTCTTCCAGGTGACTCAAGGTCTTTATAGGGAACATTAATTATCATCCGTGCCCTCAAGAACCATTTCAGCATGAAGGATTACTTGGCCCTTACTTTAACTGGCCCCCAAAGCCTTGTGTTTTGTGAGAATTTGTGTTTGTTTCTTTGTTTCTGCTTGTTGTGATTGTCGTTTAATTCATGTGCCTTTCTTCCCTTTTGGGGGGAAGGGGGCAGGGGGTGGGCAGTCACTGCTCTTCTCTAGAACCTGGTGCCTGCCTTCAACTGGATCTACGATGGAAAGATAAACACAGCCTTTTCAATTTCTGTCTACAACAACAGCAAGGAAATTCTAAGTAAATGCTCCAGGGAGCTCTCATAATAATAGTAAAAAGTGTCTGGGCAAGGCTTGATGACTCAGAAATCTTTTTACTTAATTACTAATCCCTCCCATCTGCTATTTCCAAAGCCAGATGCTGGCTGAAAAAATGTTACTTTAATCTTCAAAGCTGAGCATAAACTTCCCAATTGATGGGAATTAATTAATCCTATACTAATTTCCCAACTAAAAAAGAACAGACACAGAAAGGCATTATTTTATATATTTTTTTCTTGTTACAAAAGTAATCAATGGCCCTTATAAAAACTTTCGACAAATAGTTTTTATGGAAAAAAAAAACATAAATAACAAAGTTTCTTGTACCTAAATCTTTACACAAATCCTTGATGATTCCCCAGAAACAAACTTCTGGAAATAAAATTTCTGAGAAAAAGGGTGTGTTTCATGAGCTTTTCAAAACATGGCCAAACTGCCCTCCAGGAATTTCCCTCCTTATCATCACCAGGATCCATAAATTCCCTTTTTCTCTGTCTCTCTTCTCAGCTTGGATATTACCATTTTCTAAACATTTTCCAATCGTCCGTGTTCAATAGCATTTCATTGCTTGAATTTGCATTTCCTCTCATTATTTAGGTCTGATAGCTTTCATGTTTATTTGCCTTTTGTATTCATTCTTCAAACATTTCTTGTTTTCTCGCCTTCATTTATCTAGTGGAATGTTTGCCTTTTTATTATTTTTAACAGATAAAACTATCAACTTTCCTAATGAGGTTATCAACTCCATCATCTTACACTGGAAATATTTTTCCCATTTAATTTTGGTTTTGGTGCTTTATAAGTCAAGAAACTCTATGTTTCATGTAGTCAGTTCTATTAATATTTCCCTCTACATCTTCTTCCCTCATTCATGAGTTCAGAAATGCTTCCCACCCCCCGCCTAAGAACAGATAAATACTGAAATGCATGTTTCTAGTTCCTTTCTAGTTTAGCAATGATATTTAACTCTTTGTTACGTCTGGAATTTCCTTTGATGGATGGTATAAGGTAGAAACCTAACTTTATTTTTTCTACAAACAGTTATTAATAAATTATCAGGCAGGATCTTAAAATATGACTTCTTTCATTTCTCCCCTTTTTACTACTTGACTTCTGTGTCTTACGGTGTTTATGCTTTTGGCCTTCATAATCTGCTTCAAATCCTTTTTGGAAGTAGGTAGGGAATAAATAAAATATAATAAATAAACTTCCCCTGGGCTTGGTTGTATTAGTTTGCTGTGAATCATTCCAAAATCCTGGAATGTAGAGTATCCACATTTTTATTGTTTCAGCAAGATTAAACCTTAACACAGGTCACACGGATGGAAGAGTCAAACTGAAGACTGGACGCGGTTGACCTTTCTCTCTTGAAATGTGTTTTCTAGCTGGCCCCAGGGAAGATAATCAGTTGATAAAATTATATAGCCTCCCTTCTCCCTAACCATGGCCAGTCTTCTCTGTATCTGACTCTTTGAAACCCATGCCAAGGGGTGTAAGAGAGCAGAGTGAAAATGATTTCCCTTGCATTAGGCTCACTGGTGTGGCAAGCGTGTTTTAGGGACTGAAATTTCTTGCTGTCTGACTCCTGACTGCCTTCGACACCATAAACCAATGAAGTTTCCCCAAATTAACAAGGCTTAATTAACAGACAGCCTAAGATGCCAGCCTACAGTTAGTCCTTGCTGAAAGGGTGACCAGGTTCGGACAAGGGACCCAGCCTCCTTGGCCACAGCTGATTATCGGAGGCAAACACCTGGTCCAGGCCAGGAATTTGGGATGGCAACAGAAGAGCCAGAGCGGAGGACTCCCATGGCTGTGGGGCGGGGCTAGCCCTCTCTTTCCTGAGATGCCTGCTGAAGTGAAGCCAGCCAGTTCCCACAGCAAAGAAGAATGCACCAGACACAAAAGAAGGAAGGCTGACAAACCAGGTATTTCACCAGGAGTACATAACCTGGGTTTCTCACTGTCTGATTCCTGGCGCCAGGCCCTCAAGGTGTGCTGATACCCAAATTCCAGTAAATATCCGCACATCCATCCAGTGAATCCCATTTTTCTTGAGCTAATTAGAGTGGCCTCCGTTCCTGGCAAATGATGATCCTGATGAAGAAAGACACCCTTGTATCTGCGTCGCGCTCTCTAGTTTATCAGGGATCATCACTGACATTCTTTCTTTACCACCACCCTTTGACGGAGGTGGGTCAGAATTATCATTTCCTTCATTTTAGAAATGGAGAAAACTGTGATCTAAGAAGTCTTCGGTCACTAGTCCAAAGACACACAGCTAGAATATGACACGGCCGAGACTGATTCCCAACGTAACAAGCATTCCATTATATGATACCACTTTCTGGTAATCTTGGGAGACATTGAGGATTTACATTAAATGCTTCCTTTTACTTGGCATTCTTCCAGTGTCCACAGTAAGCCTGTCTGGTCGGCTTCAGCTGGGTTCCCTGCCCTGGTGCAAGACAATGTAGGGATTCTTGTGTCTTCAGTAGTTTAGCTGACCTTCAGGAAGCTTGAATGCTAAACATTCTTAGGGATTTCCCTAAGAAGCATTTCTCCCTATCAGTTAAGACAACACGTTTATTAAGTATACTTTATGGGTTTTGTATATGTTACATGCCATGGACAACATAAAACAATAACCCACCGTTGTCATTTAGAGAGCTTGTAATCTTGGAGATGTAGCATCCACATGCATGAAATACACTGGTGCATTGTTTGTATTTATAGATGCATAAGTACAGCTTTGCAATGAAAGCAATAAAATTGTTGTCCAAGTGTTAAATGAAAACTTGACTGAGTGGAATAAGTAAAGAAGAGATCCTACATTGGGAAGACTTGACTCAAACAGGAGTAGGCAGCCAGACTGAAAAGCACAGAAAAGGAGAAGGAGGAGGAGGAAGACAGAGATTAGGAGGAGAAGAGGAAGAAGGAGAGGAAGGAGGACAAAACGGGTAACAACTAGCACCCATTCGAGGACCACCCTAAAGACAGAGATTTCTTCTCCCTCCTAAAGCTATGAAAATACATAAACCATTCTCATGGACAACTGAGGGAGAAATGCCAAGACAGGGAGATTACCTAAGACACACAGCATTTTTATGCAAAAGAGATAGACCACTACCTAGGGGATGATTTATATAATAGGACGGAACCAAGCTTTAATTTGGATTATATATTTAGGTAATTCTTCCCGGATAACCAGTGAGTAGGGACTTAGGGGACATGCGATTTCTGTTGTAAGCAAATTTTAAAATTTTATTTTGTCTTCATATCCAAGCTGTACTAGGAGGTAAATTTGGGGATCCTGTTGTATAACCAATGCCAAAATTTCCAGCCCGGAAATAAATTACTGCGAGTGACCATTATAAAAAGCCACAGTCGGGGCGCCTGGGTGGCGCAGTCAGTTAAGCGTCCGACTTCAGCCAGGTCACGATCTCGCGGTCCGTGAGTTCGAGCCCCGCGTCGGGCTCTGGGCTGATGGCTCAGAGCCTGGAGCCTGTTTCCGATTCTGTGTCTCCCTCTCTCTCTGCCCCTCCCCCGCTCATGCTCTGTCTCTCTCTGTCCCAAAAATAAATAAACGTTGAAAAAAAAAAATTAAAAAAAAAAAAAAAAGCCACAGTCAGCAAATGACGCATCATGGAAAAATGACATTTCAGATGAGATTTAAGGGACGGCATGATGTGAATGGGACAACACGCGGGAAACTACAAAAGCGACAGAGAAACAGCAGAAATACATTTAGTGGCTATGAGGGACAGGGAACGGACTTGTCCAGTGAGGGTAGAAGTGACGAGAGCTCAACACGGAAAAGTCTAACCAGTTTCCGGAGGTCCCTGAAAGCAAGTGAGGGGAATTAAAAGCAATAAGGATTCACAGAGGGGACTGGCACAGAAAACACGGCATTTTAGGAGGGCCGGTGAGATGGCCGATGGACAGGGGTAGGAGCTGTGACAACAGAAAGCAAAGAACACCTCTCAGGGGAAACCGCCAGGAATTAGCCATCCATAGGACCCATAGTATGAAGAGTCTCTCGAGGGTCACATCAAATGTTGCCTCTTCTAGAAAGCCACCAGGGACCCCACGGTGCAGAGTTAACCATTTCTCCCCATCTGCGCTCACAGAAAAATGCGCTCATGCTTGCAAAACCACGCTCACCCAATTATGATAGACTCATTTTTAAAGGTATTTTCCCTTGGCTCTCTCCCAGCATTGCCTTTGGTACCATACACCCTGATATAAAAACGAGTAGTCAAATTCAAGTGTTAGAACTCCTTGCTGACGCATATGACTTCCTTTGGAAAGTCTCCACTGGCTCTGGGATACGCCTGATAAGGAAAACTCTCTCCCGAGGCCCCAGGGGCCTGGCCCTGGCTGTGAGGGTCTTTGCTGAGCACGACTGGAGGGTTATCTCTGAAGACGGCAGGTAGCTGGGATTAGGGGATGCTCCCCTAATCCTACAGGCCCTCAGCCCAAAGCACCATGTTCCCTGACAGAACGAAGCCAGGGAGAGCCGCAGAACCACAGCCTGATTTTTCAGGGGGGGCAGCATGGTCCTCATTTCCTGGCCATGCCTCCTGTTCCTGTACACGGGGAGTGGAATCTCTCCTTCTAGGGCCTCTGATGTGTGTGCCGAATGCATCCACACTTCACAACGAAAGGATATTCGATCTTCGAGCGCCTGGAGCCTGTCGTTCTCAGATATCTTCTACTGAAGTGGGCACAAGTCAGGAACGCGGCTGTCGGGGTCTGTCCGCATCAAGCCAGATCCTCCCCTGTGCCGGGGACCCCTTGGGCCACTGAAGTGGAAAGCCCATGCCACGGAGGGCTTCATTTCCATGACTTCCCTCAGCTGCTTCTCCTCGTCCTTTCTCTGCTGTTCCCTGATCTCTGTCACTGGCCGACTGTGAATCTTCAGGAGGTCTCTCCTGCAGCTTCTGTAACGGTGTCTGAAAGGGGAACGTTCTGGCAACCGCCCCTGCCAGTCAGTCATGTGTTTGTGGGTCGGGAAAAGCAGCCATGTCTTAAACCACCGTCCGTAGTGTTATCCCATCCCCTAACAAAGCTCAAGACCTTTCAGGCTCCTTTCCAAGAGGCAGGCTGGTGTAGCAGAGTGCTTAACGCTGGCACTCCAGAGCCTGGGGGTGGACTGCCTGGGGTTTAATTCAGCTCTGTGACCTTGGGCAGGCTACCTAAATCTCCTCCTGTGTATGAGTGGATATAAAAATAATACCTACTTTGTAGAGATGCTATGAGGACTATCATGGGTTTGTTCGTGGTCAGGCACTTAGAGTAATGCCTGCACTTAGGAAGTACTTAGTGTGATCTATTATTATTATTATCATCATCATCATCATCATCATCATCATCATCATCAGTGATTTTTGCTAACAGTTAAAAAGCTTGTACACATAGATGACAAACTCTGTGGTTCTGAGGATGAGAGCTTGAGGCTTCAGACAAGGAGGAACAGAAGTACGAGCCATCTCCGGGATGGGATGGAAGAGTAGGTCCCTGGGGCTCACTGGCAGTGACCTCTGATCCTCCATGGAGTAGGCTTCCCTGATCACTGAGATGGTGAGGTCCCTCCGGTGGGAATGGGAGGTCTCGCGGCCCGATGGGATAGGCTCTCAGGCCCCAGAGCTATAGGTGTGGACATCTCTGAACCACAAGGCAAATCTCCCTCATAAGAGGGCTTCATCATGGAATCACAAAAGGCAGCGTCCTTCAGAAAAGCGGGTGACGGGCCCCATCTCCAGGGACACGGGAAGCCACTGGCTGCGGTGCCAGCATGGCCGGCCTTCAGCCGGGACACTGAATGACAGCGAGAAGCTGGGGTGCACTGATGGGAGCCCGGTTCCCTCTTTCCTGGAGGTAGGTCATAGACTGGTCCCCCTCCTGCCCTCTGCACCACCCTGCGCAACACAGAGGTGGCGATTTCAAAAGGGAGAGTCTAAACCCCAATTAACAAAGCAGGAGGCAGGGCACCTGAGTGGTTGGGGCAGTCAAGCATCCAACTCTTGGTTTCGGCTCAGGTCACCATCTCACAGTTCATGGGATCGTGCCCCACACTGGGCTCTGCGCTGACAGCACGGAGCCTGCTCGGGATTCCGTCTCTCCCTCTCTCTGCCTCTTCCCTACTGGTGCTCTCACCGTCTCTCTCAAAATAAATAAATAAACATAAAAAAATAATAAAGCAGGAAGCAACTCCAGAAAAGATGTGACTATCTTTGTGCCCCGAGTTCATGGGGTTACTTCACTTATGGCACTTGACCTCCTTGTGACGTTTCTATGTATATTCCCAGGAACGTACTGTATATCTCTCCCGCGAAGGAACAGACTCCTCAGAGATCCCCAGCAGCTGGGGCTGCACGGACCCCCTCTGGTCTGCAGGAGGACTTGAGCACGCACGACTGCACCCCACGGCCGTGAAGGACCTGCCACAACCCCCCTTCCTTGCCTAAAAGGAATTCGGTGGAAAAACTCTGAGCTTGTGATGGCAGGCATGGAGATTAACACCACATTCTTATGAAATCTCTGTAAGGACTCCAACGCTGAGAACTACAAGGAGCAACATTCACACTGCTCTCCTCTCTGCTGGTCACCACCTTCTACACATGTATTTCTCCCCAGCCTAGAAGGTGGTAAAGGTTCCTGCAGGATCCTCCCAGAGGGGCCCTCAGTTAGAGACCACAGGGACCCCCCAAGTCCCACGGAGCCTCAGGGGCATGGGATCTTCACTCAAGTGCACCAAAGTCCTAGCCCTTGTACCTGAGATGTGGTAGGTTGTAGTAGATTACGTTGTGTGCCCACATTGTATGACCGACACTCCCAGACCCTCGTAACACTTGTGTTGAAGAAGATGCCTTCTTGGAATTCGCGAGAGCACAGAGCACACACAGACACGCACGCACGCAGAGACCCAAGAATGAAATCTCAAACTGCCACACCTTGATCTGGGCATTTAAAATGAATTCTCCTAGGGGCGCCTAGATGGCTCAGTTGGTTGAGCGTCCAACACTTGATTTCAGATCATGTCATGATCCCAGGGTTGCAGGATTGAGCCCCACATCGGCCTCTGCGCTTAGTGTAGAGCCTACTTAAGATTCTCTCTCTCTCTCTCTCTCTCTCAAAAAAACCCTAAATATAAAAAACAATTTAAAAAAATAGGCACCCAGGCAAAAGGCAGTAGACCTAACTGCCTCTTAGGTAAACCCTTAGGTTGTTAATGAATTCACGTGCTTGTATAGGAGACAATGCTAGACTGGGTTTGCATCCACATGCCCACCTTTGTGCCGAGGTCAATCTCTCTGCCTTTGGTGCCCCAACCTGGACCTCAGCTCATTGAATTAAGCATCATGCACACGTGTGTGTTCCGATTCCTTGGACCTCTATCTGGTCGTAGGACATGTGAAATCTATTTGCCTTGTCACCCAAAATTTCTCCGAGGATATAATGGACACCAATCTGGCCACCCAAGGCCTGAGTGATATTGGAGTTTGCCCAATAAATAAGTGCCCATGTTTCCCACTTAAATTTGAAACCAGCTGTAAGAGAAAGAAAAATACTTCTGCTTGGTCACTGATAAAAACCGCAAACATGGCTGAGCCCCGCAGTCAGAAGGTCTCACTCACACTGTGTGCCCAGGGCTGCTCCCCCAGGAAAAGTTTTGGTCTGCGGAAGACAAGCACTCAGACAGGACTTCTGTCTCACACTGGCCCAGGACAGAGAAGGGAGAGACAGGGACAAAGCCCCAGTGAGTAAAATTTTTTAAATAAATTAATCACAACCAACGGAGGAAAATGGACTTACAGAAAATCCAAATCTCACTTAGATTTCCAGATTCTCATAGTTTCCTTTTATTTCCCTTCATTTTGATTTGGGTATATATCGCTAACAAGGGAAATGTTTTAAGTGGAAATAGGATTGGTTCCTTCTGATATCTATTTTGCGTTTTCAGATCTGTAAAGCAAAATGTTTGCATTTTGTTTTTAAGTGCTCAGCGTTGTAGAATAAGAGTGAGGCTTCTAAACCCATCCCTATGTGGGATTTTCTTGCATCACCTATAGAGCTCTCTTAACATATTTTGCAGTGGGCAGGACAGGTGGTTTGGAGCAGGGAAAGAAAGCAGAGACCGGTTCAAGTCTGTGCTCTTCCTTTGAGACCCTTGGAAAATAATTTTACTTCTCTCAGCCCCAGGCCCCTCATTTGCAAAAAAGAAATAACCACACCTCATCTGCCTACATCTCAGAGACTGTGTGAAGGTCCAATGACATACCGTACCTAAAAGCACTTTGAACTTTGAAGGTGTTTTACAGGTATTAGGTATTGTTTCGATGAATTCAGAAATTATTAAATACTTGCCAAATAAGTTTGTACATTTGAAATGGCCTCAAAAGGTAGTAGAAATGGAAAGCACGAGATATACAAAAATCTGTTGTCAATTAAAAAATACTTAAATTTTCCACAAAGGGTACCAAGAAGCCATTAGCTTTATAGTACACATTATAATACTCTAACTTAAAACATGAACTTATTTTATTGGATTATATATTTGTGTTATAGAACTTACATGGTTGCTGCACGTCTTGTATCGAATATTCTGCCCTTCGCAATTCCTAGAGGAAAAAAGGGGACAAAGAAATGATTTCATAGAAGTGGCAAGCAGCACAAAAGAAAAAAGGGAAGGGAAGGGAAGGGAAGGGAAGGGAAGGGAAGGGAAGGGAAGGGAAGGGAAGGAAAAAGAAAAGGATGGAGAAGGGAGGGAGGGAGGGGAGGGAGGAAGGAAGGAAGAACAATAAATACAAGGTGATACCGATAAAACTTTTATTGTTTATGTCACCTCAGAGATTCAAAGTTTAAATTCTAAGAAATAACTTTCAAAAATCAGGAGGGCAAAAAAGTCTCATGAAAGTGTCACTTTAAAGAGAGTGAATTCTTGAGCTGAATTCATGTCATGATATTACTTATGTGCAGTTTTTACTCTGGGATCCATATGACCACTGAAATGAACGTGTGTGCATACCTGAACTACGGGTAGAAGCATGTGGGCACCACGCCCCTCACTCACTGAAGCAACCTCAGTCAGCCGCGCATTCCGTGACCTCCTTCTCTAATCAATATGGTGATCTCAACGAGAAATCTGCTTGAGGCGATGCGTCCACTTCTGATTTCGACTACTGGCCTTACTAAATGGATACTACAAAATAGGGTTCGGGGGGGCTTTCTCGGGAAACCAGTACTGTAGGGTCTGAAGTCACATACAGGTTTGAGAATCCTCTAGAAAGGGTCACCGCGTACCGTTTCCTCCCCTCCAGCCACTGGTTCTAGAACTTTGCCACTCACTCTCTGAGCAGATTTTTCCTTGGATGTTTGAAGTTCCCTGTGGCAGGAACTTTCCCCAGTCAGCGCTCGCTGGTCTATAGTTTATATTAACTCCTTAAAGTTATCCGATCCACTAATGGCACCTCTCCCAACTTTTCAATTACGTGTTTTTACCTTTGGTATTCCTGGTCAGTTCAATGGCAGATTTGCAGCAAAGAAAGCTAACCACAGGCTTCACTCATCACCTTGTGTTAAAAGTCAACTGATACTATTTCAATTGTTTTAAAATATTTAGCCCTAGAAGAAGAGAAATCTTTACCGAGTGGATCTGATTTTTTGCTGGTATGGCTTAAATAAGAGCCTATATGAAATGATTCACAATCTGTTTCAGCAATATACAATTCATGGCACACGCTGACGATGCTATTTTTATTGATTACAAAAAGAGTAAGTGAACACTAATAACATGCCAAGAAGTATAAAGGAGGATAATCGATCTTTCCAAATCCCATCACCAAGATTTACACTCTCCATATTTTGGCATCCAATCATCCAGTATTTCTGCATGATTTACTGACAGATGTGAAAGCATACTACTAATTCAACTTTGTATTAGTTTTGATCTAAGATAGCAAACATTCCTCCCGCTTTACTACTAATTCTTTGAAGAAATTCTTTTAATAACTACATAAAAGTCCATTATGCAGACATTACACTTTTTATAGTTTTGAATTTAAAATTTTCTTAACTGTGGTAAAATCCACATAACACAAATTTACGTCTTAACCATTTTTAGGTCTACAACTCAGCATTAAGTATATCCATATTGTAGTACAAACATTACCTTTCATGGTTATTTATGCTGCCTCCTTTTCCCCCTGTAGTTTTTAAATTTACATACGGTGAAATTCACTTTGGGGGGGCGGTGTACAATTTTATGAGGTTTTACAAATCCACCCTCCCCCTGACTCATTTGCTTTTCACGTAGTGATTATTTTGTATTTTATTATGTCTCCTGGTTTTTGATCCTGCTTTTCACTTCTCCTTCCTTTGCCATCCTTCTCAAACTGCCCCTTCCCCACTTATGTCTCATATCATATTCATGTTCCTTTCTGTTGCATTTGCAGAATGTACCCCTCATGGAAGTGAGAAGGCATATGGGAGGAAGTCTGGGGGTGAAAAAATAAAAGCATCATAGCTGCCTCCAAAAGCATTATCTACATGATAGTTAAATTGCTGAACTTGAAGGCAGACAAGGTATCCGATTAGTTGCCCCTTTTTAATGTAATTCTCATGACTTTGGGATGAGAACATCTTCCCAGATGTTACTGTAAAAGGCTGATCCAGTCTTGGTATTTTGTAACACTTCCTATATCCTTTTTTTGTGTGTCTTGTCATAGGTATATGGCTCTGAAATTTATTAAACCTTCAGTGAGGCTACATCAAACTTTAAATATTCAAGAAGCACCACACTGGGAGGCTGGCGGGAAAACAGTATTAGGGTGGAGAAGGCTCTCTCTTGGTCAAGGGGAAGTGACGCCATTCTCCTGGGAGACAACAGCTATGCCAGTGGACAAGGTCATGTACTTACATAACTTATTTCATTGTGCTTTTTATGTGTGGAAAAAAAGAAGAAAATAAATTACAGAAAAAGTGAAAGGGTAATTTAAAGTACTCTGTTTATTTTGGAAAGGCCCCGAATGAGGAAAGCAACTAATAGATTAGGGAAGTGATAACCAAAACTTTTGAACCATGCTGACTTGGAACCCTAAAAAGCTTTTAATTCTCATTTCCAGAGAGCAGGAAAATGGCAAAGGTACATTTTAAGAGAGTATCTGAATTGATCTAAATACTGATATACAAAAAATGTCAAAACTTAGGAAGCATGGAGTTTTCTCTAAAAGCGTTTTGGGACTTCAAAAAAATTATCCCTGATGCATTTTTCCCAACTGCTTGACTTCAGCCATTTAAATGAAAAACAAAATTACTTTTAGAAGAAGTTTGAAACTAAAAGGAAAGAGCCTATGAGGTGAAAACAGCTGATGATTGTGTCTCAGGTCTGCTGTGTGGCCCATATAGTCATGGTCCACACCCCACGGTCCCGATTATAAGCCTAGCATCCAGGAGGCATGAACTTGTACCCCAACTGGTGAGCCTGAAAATCTACATGTGAAACATCAGTGTATCTCCACTACAAATCCCACCACAACAGCAGCAAAATGGTATGGAAAGAGCATTTTACCGCATGAATTCTCAAAATATAAAGGACCATTCTGGATTCATCCTTCTCCAGCAACTTCTTACCAGGAAGTACTATGTACCAGGATGTGGATATAAAGATTCAGGGACACTATCTCTCAATTCCCCTAACACATCAGTATGTGTGTATGTATGTGTGTATATATATACATATATATATATGTATATATATATAAATATTTTTTTAACCCAGTAGTTTTATATATATATATATATATATATATATATATATATATAATTTTTTTTTTTTTTAACCCAACCATCTGGCCAACATTTTTAATGTTCTACCTAGCACACAGTAAACTCGCTGACTGGTCTCTATTGATGTGGCTTTGGTTACAATTTAGCATGAAAATGAATCACCACTTTATGAAACAGGCATAAAATGAAATGCAAGTTATTTTAAAGTTAAGGACACTGGAGTCCTAATTCCCCAAGCAGGAACCTGCCAGCTTATTCTGGAAATAATTCCTTTGGCCTGCAGCAACTGAGCTACAGAAATATTGCTTCCAAGTTTTTAATTTCATTCTAATTATTATATGCAAGAGCTAATGGTTATCAGGAGTATATGAAAATTCAAGAACATCATTTCACAATTATGTATTTTCTATCCATTACAACATTCATAACACCCTGAAATTGGAGATTTTTGAAGCCATAAATTTATGAATATATAAAAAACATATGTTGATTCCACATGAGGATACATTAAAAACATTAATAAAATTTCCCCGGAGTTTATAGCAGGATAATTTATTACGTTCATTTGATGATATATTGACTCAAACACTAGTGTCTTAAAGACTGAGAAGCATGTGTCTGAAGAATAAAAATATATTAATTTTTTAAATAGTAGTTAACTTAAATCTGTGTTCCCCATGGCTGGCAGTTGACTAGAATATCAAGTTACAAATTTCTGCAAGACAGACATCCTGGCTGGGGCACGCTTTGCAGTGCAAAAGAAATGACTGTGTATTTAAATATAATCAAAGTCTGAAAAAAAAATTATCCACAAAAAATAAATGAGCAGAAGAGCCACATTCATCCCCTTCCCTAAATCATGAATTTCAGTAAGTGCCCCGATAACAACAGAGGGCACTGAAATGCTTTCAAAAGCTTTGGGATGGCTTTTTGTTTGATTTTGTATGTAACCACCTCCATATTCCTTTTCCAAGACAAACTGACCACAGAGCTCAATATTCATGAAGACTTAACAACTCTCTAAGGCTGTTCTAGGATAAAGAGACCTGATAAGCTTTCCAAGGGAAGGAGGTTTCCTTCTCAATCCCCTCGGAGTACTTCCAAAACGACAGTAAAAGTTCTTAATATGTGAGTGGGTCACGAGTGATTAGTTTGATGCTTCCTGAAAGACGGGGAGTAGGGATGAGTGAACCAGTAACAAATCCGCTGCAAATTTAATTTTTATGCAGAGAAATAACGTTGCTGTCCCCAGTTCTTATGGAAGACACGGAATGAGTGGGTGTGCCATTGGCCTGGCCCCATACCAGGAACCAAGCTGGAACAGGACATATATTGCCATGCATTTATCTTATATTTAATTCTCTCATTTAATTTTTTTAATGTTTTTCTAAAGTTTGTTTGTTGTCGTTGTTTTTGTTGTTGTTTTAAGAGATAGAGGGAGGGGCAGACAGAGAGAGAAGCAGGCTCTGTGCCATCAGCACAGAGCCCGACATGGGGCTTGAACCCACAAACTCTGAGATCATGACCTGAGCCAAAATCAAGGGTTGGGTGTTTAACCAACTGAGTCACCCAGGCGCCCCCCCCACCCATTTAATTTGTTTAATATTTGATTAGGATCTTTTCTAGCCGGACCTATTTTTTTCAAATTAGATGAGCTCAGGGAATAAACAAATGTGGAGATTCTCAGGCCTAAGAGCAAGTTTCAGAATACAGGTTAAGATTTGTGCATAAATAAACTAAAAAAAAAAAACAAACCCAAACATTAAAATCCTTAAAAAAATGAAAAAAAAATAAGCAAGTACTACTTTGGAGATGGGCACTCAAAACATAGTAG